ACCCTCTGAGAACAGTTACAGAATATAAAATAGTTCATTTTCCATACATCTGTACTATTTATATATAGTGAGGAGGAAGTTGTATCTGTTACCCGTATCCGCTATTAGCATTTCTACCTTTCTTTCAGGTGGCAGAGGCCAAGACCAAAGCAGAAGAGGCCAAGGGTAAAGCTCAAGCAGCTCTGGACAAAGCCACAGCCACCAAAAACAAAGTGGAGCGCTCCAACAATGACCTGAGAGACCTCATCAAACAGATCAGAGACTTCCTCACTCGTGAGACTTATATGAATTCAAATTTTTCTGAACAACATATAGAATAATCATGTCCTGTGTCAACCATGTCATTTCTCATATCCATCTTTCACTCAGAGGAGGGAGCTGATCCAGACAGTATTGAGGCAGTGGCAAACCATGTTTTGGAGCTCTCCATCCCAGCTTCACCCCTCCAGATCAGACACCTGGCTGATGAAATCAAGGATCGGGTTCGCAGCCTTTCTAATGTGGATGCCATCCTGGCACAGACACAGGAAGATGTTCGCAAGGCAGAACAACTGCTGCTGGATGCCAAGAGGGCAAGGTAGATGAACCAGTGCCAGACTTAAACCATATGTACTGGTATAAGATTATTTGTGCTAGCAGGGAGCATTTCATGCTTATCACTTTGTCTTTGTTAGGCATCATTCTGAGGGAGTAAAGACCACAGCAGAGACAGTAAAACAGGCCTTGGTGGATGCTAAGAGTACCCAGACCTCAGCAGAGAAAGCCATAGCAAGAGCCAAAGCTGACATTGACATGACTGAGGCCCGACTGGCTCAGGTAATCAACAAAAATTGTACAAATACCTGTACCTATATCACGGCTGTATCTGTGATGGTTGGTACAGTTGTTCATCAATGATAGTCCCTTAATGATAATTAATTGTTCATTTCATTTTAAACAACATAAACCATGTAGTAGTATTATTTTAAAAAGATTAGAATTTACCTGTACGTTTTCTCTCCTTAGATCGAGTCAGAGACATCTAATGGTGAGAAGGACCTGAATGATGCCATGGACCGCCTGGGCACCCTGGGACAGGAGATCAATGCCCTGAAGACCAAACGTGCCAACAACAGCATGGCAGCGGCCCGAGCCGAGGAGACGGCCACCATGGCACGAGACAAAGCGAATGAAGCCAAGCAGGTGAGTATCTGTAGTTGTGTGCATGTGTGTGTGGCGTCATTGAAAGCATCAACAGATATTATAGAAAATTCTTCCTGCTGTCTTGATGTCCAGATTCTAGATGGTCAGCTGACAGACAAATACCACGAGGTGCAGCAGCGGGTTGACAGCAAGGCCAAGGCCGTGCAGGACGCAAAGAAAAGAGCTGAGAGCCTCAGAGATGAAGCAAAGGAACTACTGAGAGATGCCCAGAACAAGTTGCAGACACTAGCAGGTGCCTACTAACATCAGCATGTGTTTATGTGTCCATTCAAACATTATCTAAATGTTTCTACATCTATCTCTATCTACTTTAACACAGGGTAGTGCGATTCGAAGCATCTGCGCTAATAATAATACAGTACACATATAAGTTTTGAAGACTAATGTATACAAAAAATAAAATGGGTAAAAGAAATAATAAAACTAATGAAATAGATAAGTCAATAAAAATAGAATTGAAAGAAGCTAATCATCATTAAAACTGTTAAATAACATGTTGGCCTGGCTGGTGCCAAGAAAATGGATATAGAAACTGTTATATGTCAATAAATATGAAAACTGTGTACACAGCTAACAAGCTCAGGGAAATTACTAACCTGTCTCTATCCATGTGTAAATAAATCTGCTAACCAGCACCTGTATTGCTCAGTAATGAACATGTATATATTCTTTGTTAAATCTATGCAAAGCCGAAGTGCACATGAAATTGTGGTGTCATAGGGTCTTATGAGCTGGACTATTTCTTGGCCAGGCTCTTCTCAACTGGTGGTCTGGTAACCAGCCGGAATGATATGAGGGTGGTAAAGATTTTCTCTTCTAAATCTCCATAAAAAAAGTAAACTAAAATTGGTCTTATTATTATTATTATTATTAATAAGAAAATACATTACTTTAATTTAAGTTAACAGATCCATGTGGCTTAAAGTAAGTCTGAGAAATTGTTGTATTGAGTAAGGGCCTAAAATTTATATTTCAGTTTAATCCTGAATTTAAAAATGTATTTAAAGGAGCATCAATAGGCTTTTTGTCATTAGAAGAGTCAGCCATATTGTGTGTCATCATAGCTGTAAAAAAACAAATATCATGACTTTTCAAGATGCCATTGATTTAAAAAGTAGTGATCTTAAAATCAATCCCAGAGGAACCAAATAATTAATTTTAGCTCTTTGTGAAATGATCATGTACTCAGCAATGTGTTCTCTTTTTTTTTAATGACTGTGATGATCACCTATCAAAATCAAGTAGATTGACTATGCTGCTGTCTAGATATGTAACTATTCCTTAAATTCCCTGTTGTCACAGAACTAGAAAAGAAATATGAGGAGAACCAGAGGAAGTTGGAGGGGAAAGCTCGTCAGCTGGACGGCTTGGAGGACAAGATGAAAGCCATCCTCAATGACATCAACAGACAGATCCAGATCTACAACACGTGTCAGTAACTCACTGCTCTGTGCTGTATGAAAACGGGTCCATCGATGTGTCATTTTGCTGATTCCCTCAGATACAGTAAGCTTTCAACAGACTTTGAAGAAATGAATTAAAGAAGAAGGCTGGGGCAGTTCATTACTCCGCAAGTGAATATGAATATTTAAAATACTGTCATGTATTTAAAAAACATTGCCAAAAATTGAGATATATGAACATACCCATGACTGAACACTTATATGTTGTCTTGAGCTCACATATTTTATTTGCATTGAAATATTTCCACATTATCTCTGCTTGTATTTTCTAAAATAATATGGAAACGTTTCTGTGTTTAAATCTTGTTTTGAATATGGAAACGAAAATGATATTTTAGAAAATTCAATGATGCACAGATTTGAGACTGAATATGTCATTTTTTGAAAAGAATGGTTTGCAAACAAGCTGTTTAAATGTGTATTGTTTGTTTTTTGTTATTGCGAGTGACAGCTGCATAATCAGCAGGTCATTCTTGTTTTCTCCACCTTTTTATATGAACTCTGTTACTACTGGAAGTATATTCTGAGCTGTGCTCATCACAAGAAGACTTCATTTAAATTGTATCAAATAAACCTCGATACAGAGACATGCCCTAGGAACTGGGCCCTTGTTCCTGTGAAATTTAGGTGCTATGTGTAAGGTTTTGATATTGCTACATAACCAATGTTGGCATTAACAAGTGTGTACGTAGCACTCCACAAATGTTGCAAGTTCAACATTGAATCACTTGCTTCTGCTAGAGCCAGTATGCTATCCAGCTGGCACCACCCTGTCCTATCAGTGGCAAAGAAAACGTACATGCAGCCCTTATAAGGACATACCTTTCCAGTAAGGATAAAGAGACGAACAGGGTTGTTGCATTTATTTAGATTTTAAATTTAGAGTTTTCAATTCAAAGTTACACTTACAATGGTGCTATTGTTTTCATCACATCTGCCTTCCTACAAATACATAACAAGTAAACAAATGGCATGATATGACCATTTTATGCAAAAAGAAATGAACTGCAGGACTTGCTAACCTTCCCACAAACCACCTGTCTGCAGCAGGAGGATTGCTGTACATTTTAACACACCACACAGGAATAATAATGGATGGCAGTGTTACGCTAACAAAGTATACTTGCAGCATGTATATAGGGATTGCAGTGTCAGAATTGATTAATAAATAAGACATTAGTTTCAGTCGAATCTGATGTGTTCTGAAGGGGTCAATGTCAGATTTAGGTTTGATTTGGCTTTCTTTGATTTAGCTTGTGCTAAGCTAAGCCTAGCTAAACCAAGACTATTTTAAAAATAGAAATCATTTATGAATTTGTTCCTTTGAGTCATCACCAGGATTTATTTTTGTAAATGTCAAACCCATGGTGTACATATTGTCAAGGTTTATCAAATTCTACGGATGAAATATGTAGGAGCCGCAGAACGTGTTGCCTCACTGAAGTGCCATTGAATTCTACAGTATATACACTGTTTAATTTTGCTGTGCCGGTATACTCATGTACTGATTGCATGACAATGTGTGTTTTACGAAACATAAACCAAAAAACTAATTGTATACATATTTCCCCCAGCTTGCATATCAGCTGGTTATTTTGATATCTTATTGCCAAAGCAGAAATACCAAAAGATGCTTGTGTACATTTGTGTCAATAAAGTTTAAGTAACTTAATATGTCTGTAAGTTCTCTTTATTCGCCTCCTGAGCGGCAAGTTCCTTGTTTGACTCCTGGCCAGCAAGAGCATTTATTCCATTCTCCTATTCATGGCTCCATTGT